ACGAGGAAGAAGAGTAGGCATTCCTCTCGTTATTCGCCCATATAATGGCCGAAGGAGGTGTCCTAGTTAGCACTGACAGGTCAGTAAGGTTTCAATAATGTGTCTATAACACTTTCTTATCGATAGGGAGCTCTTGGACTCCTTGTCAAAGAAGAGGAGAGCTTTTAAAGAATCTTTCAAGGTTTCTGTTATTTTTATTATTGTGAATTGTTTCATTTTTGTCTCCTTTTAGCTGAAGCCAACAAAAGATGGAGAGGACCTTGAGGCTACTGATTCTGGCTTAAGAACAACCTCGAGTTTTGTGAGTCAAAAAAACCAATTTCTGACTGTATACATATATAATATTATGTTCATATAATCCTTCTCTATCTCTCTTTCAGATTAGTGATGATCTGTTAGATACAATGAGGGCAAGAAGAGTTAGGAGACGAATGAGAAAAGGAGAAGTATGCACATGTAGCAACTCTTACCCGTTATCATTGAACAATTCACATTATGCCCACACACACACACACGTACATACATGTAGTTGCCTCCATTAGATCTCTCTTTGGCTGGTTCTAAGAATCTTGAGCCAATTCCTCCATTACCTCCTCCTACTAACACTGAATCCATACTAACATCAACACTTAATGGTGACTCTATCACGTTATTATTATTTATAATTATATTCTTTATTTGTGTCTTTAAGATGAAGCAGCTGCTGGTGTTTCTAGTATTCGTAGATTAAGAGAGAGGCAAGATCATAGGACACGATTTGATGATATTGCTACTGGTATTATTGACTCATCCAATCAAGTAATATTTAAAGAAAGGTTATAGAGATTATTTTAAACATTTTCTTTTTAGATTCGTCCAATTTCTCCCACTTCTCCTCGTTCCCCTCCACCTCCTCCTCCTGTATCCACAGCAAAAACTAATCTGATTGGTTCTAAGTTATCGAGCGAGAGATGGAAACTGTTATCATCAAAAATGACCGAAACCAAAGACAAGGTTCACTTTGCATGCAACGAAATTTGGCCTGAGACTGTGTACTATAGTACAGGGGCTTGGGTCTGATATTTGAGCAACTTTAAAAATTTGCAAAAAAATCCAATTTTGATTTGAATCAGTTCAAAGTTTCTACACAAGCATCAGAAAAGATGGAGAGTTCTCTCCTTTTCAATTTTGTCGAAATTTCCTGAGACCATGTACTACATTGTATAATAGTACAGGGACTATATGGTATTTTACAACTTGTCTCTTTCTGCTTG